GTTCGTGGTGAGCGCGGCGAGTGTGCGGACACGAGCAAAGCCCGAGCGGGTGTCGGCGTCATTGAGCGTGACGCCGGATTGCCGGCGCTGGGTTCGGCATTGGCGTGCAGTCGGTGATCATTGCGGCACAGGCGTCGGTCCACGAGTCGCTTCTGGCCGTCGTGGGGGGTGGCAAGCTGCGTTCATTGAAGAGCAAGAAACAAACGCGGCGCCGAGTGCCGATGTGGACTGGCAACGCCTCACTCGAGAAGTGCGACTGCGTGACATGAGAGTCGCGGCCGTCTCGAGTCACGTGATCGGACACGACGACAGCAAAAGCGACAACGGCAGGGTTCGAACCTGCGCACTCAGAGAGTACTGGATTTCAAGTCCAGCGCCTTAGACCACTCGGCCACGTTGTCCATAATCGCGATTTTTTCGAAAATCGGCCACTGGAAGTACCCTCGGCCACCGCTGACCACTCCCACATTCCACACACCCAGCACAGGCGAACCAGGGTCGCTGCCGTGGGAACCACGACCCCCCACAGCACGCGGCAGTCACCGAAAGGACGCTTGAAGATCCAAGACGTGTTTGTTGTTGGGCAAGACGCCGCCCCGGTCAAACGACGCGGCGAGTCTCGAAGAAGCGGTGGAGATAAAAGACCTGGAAGGCGCATGCGCCAATGAGGAGGACGGCCCGGAAGAGCGACCACCAGAACACGCGGCCGTTGGTCGAGTCGGCGGCTGGCGCACATTCAGCGGGTCAGTCGCAATCACGGTTTCTGGCACCGGCGGTGCACTGATACGCACTCTGGCGATGGCGCTGGAGACGACGGATGAGGTATCCCTGCTCGTCGCGCATGAAGCGAACGTTGTCGGCGAGGAGCTGCAGCGAGCGGGAGCCAGCACATTTCAGGCATTTTAGAGCTTCTAGTGGGATGTGCTTGAAGAAGGCAGGCGACAGCACGCGGCAAGGGACATGGCTCTGCGCACGAGTATTTACTCAAGCCGGCGACCAGGCAGTGTCGAACCCGAGCCGCACGCCGGCGTGCACCGGATGCACACGGCCGCGCGGCTTGAAC